GTGTCTCATTTTCTGGCTTTGTTGGGTGTGGCAGTTAATTTCTTAGGTACCCAACAGGGAAACGAAACGAAACAAAACAAAACAAAACAAAACAAAACAAAACAAAACAAAACAAGACAAGACAAAACAACCTTTTGTCTGTACTAGGACAAACACAAAAACTTGAGACTTGACAAATTAAAACAAAAATTTTAAACCATAAAATTGTGTGTAGAAGTTTTTAAAAACACACACGTGCAACAGAGGCAGTTCTTTGAAACTGATCAAGGATCTTTCTGAAACCACTGTCTGAAAAATTAGAGTCTAAAGCTGGTGTTCCTTCTCATTTTTGGCATCAAAGTGACAGGAAAAAGACGTAGAAGAGGCTGATACGCAGTTTTAGGGAACTCTGGGATGTTTCCTTCTCCTGTGGCAACACTCATAACCTCCAGAAAACAGAAGCCTTTGCTAAGAGCAGGGAGGGTGCAATGTGGCCACTCACCCCCTACTTCTGCCTCTGAGGTTCGCCTGTTTCTTTCTTGGCCGATGCGATTACCGGCCGTGAGAAGCCACGTTGCCATTTTTAACAGGCCCTTTTTAAACGAGGCAATAATGGCTTTATTTATAATCTTTGGGTGAAAAATGGCACTTGAAGAGGACCGTTTCACAATCCAGGCGGTCTGCATTCTCGTGGTTCTCTTCCAAACTAGCAGTCTAATAAGGGTGGCAGAAGCTGAGCTCCTTTTTGGCCCTGCCATTCCCTCTCAAGTTTCCCTATTTGTGATTTCCGTCCATGGCTTCAGAGTTGGACTGAGATATTCAAAATGCAAAATACAAATATGCTGATGGCAAGCCGAGCCTACACAGGGTCACATCACAGCGTAGGGCTGAAAAACCTCGCGGTACTGGAGAATATCCCCAGCACCAAGTACTCATATATGATGCCTGTAAATAAATATTTGCTGGATGAACGACTGATTGATGGGGTGAGTGAAGGAAACCACTCACTTCTCAAGATAATTGTGGGTGTGAAAACTGATTCGTAACTATTTGAATAGACGTGACGTTTAAAAAATGTTACCATTAATTATTTGGGATTTTATACCGGATGCTTTCCAAAGATTTCCCATGAGGCCAACAGAAATTGGTGAAGGCGTGTCTACGTGCATTTATGTCCTCACTCACGCTGTTATTTCAAAATCACGAGGAGAGACAAGTGTGGGAACTTGAAGACATCGCGTCTGTCAACATTTCGCATTTCTCCTTTTTTATTCTTTCTTCATTCTGGTAATGGTAACTTGCAGCTTGTTTGGCTGGTTGGTTGGTTTTTTTCCAGACTCCTGTCTGAGCTGAACTCCGTGCAGTGAGTAAAGTCTGGGCTCACAGAGGGCCATAAAATCCTTTTAATATTCATTTGAAGGTACAAGCTCTTGGACCACAAAGGTCCCTTCTCCTGGTCCCCTTTTCATGCCCAGACATGCTCAGGGACTTGGCATCTTGCCCTGGACGCAAGGCATATAGGCCCAACAAAACGCTCATTTTCACTGCTTGCAACAATGATCAATTCTTTAATGTAATTACTTAGAACAAATTAAGAGTTTAGATCCGGGAGCCTTGGGGCACTCAAAGATTATGGAAAATAGTGGGGTGGGGAATGGTTTCAGATGCCCCTGGGCTGCAAAAAGCCACACCCCTCAGAGGCCGGGTGTGATTCTGATAGATAGGTGTGAGCTTTTACTAAGTACACCCTGAAGATCTGCAGGGCAGGAAAAAGTAGGAGCTTACGGTCCATGCGTGCTCTGTCTTTGCCAGGCCACCTTCTAAAAATAGCTAGCGGCTGCTTTTTTAACTGTGTGACTTCTTAAATACGTTTCCCTTTCCAGCAGCTCAGTTTGCTAGAGGAAGTGGAGAGTAAAAATATTGTTTCTCTGTCTTCAGCTGAAGACCGGTGGCCCCAGTGTAAGCCACGAAGACAGTATCCATAGGTGATAGGAGGGGGCAAAGGCAAACCCCGTGAATTTGAGCTTTTATTGCACACGCTGTCGGGTTCCTGGGTATGGGAGAAAAGCAGACCCTTACATACAGACTCCAAGAGAACCTCTAATTTCACTCAAGACAGGAAGTGTCCTTTACCCCAATGCTACTGGGCAAATGTGGAAATAGGAACTTTGATAATGATTCAAGTTACTTTTACTTGGGAAGGTTTGGGAGGAAATAGCTGTAGGAATACCATTCTTAAAGAGCTTACTAAGGCATTATCCAGGCATAAAGCAGGCATTATCCAGGGCTCACCGCAAGCCAGGCACTGCCCTCTGTGCTTTCCATATGCTAGTTTATTTAATCAGCAAAACAATGCTCGGAGCCAGGTGCTCATATGACCTCCCATTGCAAAGAACCAGGAAACTAAGGCACCAGGATACCAGGAAGCTTGCCCCTCAAACACCCAGCTAGTACAGGAAGTCCAGCTTGATTCTAGGCTCTGTCCTTGACCATGTGTTGCTTTTAAAATCAGAGAAAAAATAATAAATGCGGCTTTAAAATCCTGACCCTAAAATCCATAACCTACAGCAGACTGTGAAGATCATTGCATGGAAGGGCTTTGGAGAAGAAAGAACACAGGCAGCCTAGATTGTTTGATTTACTAAAGACCAGACTTTATAGACGGACACCAAGGACAAGTGGCTCAGATGTATCCCCCTCTGCAGTCCTGTAAGCAGCCAGTAAACAGTCTACCCCTTGCAATGTTACCTGGGGCTGCAGGACGTGATGGTCAGTCTCAAAGGAAGAGTGAATTTCCCAGCTACCATAACTCTGAATGGTGGGCTCGGCACCGAAACGACACAAATACACTTTCACACACAACTTTCTATGAAAAGTCATAAAACAGTGGCGCCTGGGTGGTGCACTTAAGCATCCGACTCTTGGTTTTGGTTCGGGTCAGGGGCGCATAGTTCGTGAGTTCGAGCCCCGCGTTGGGCTCTGCACTGACAGTTGGGAGCCTGCTTGGGATTCTCTCTCTCCCTCTCTCTGCCCCTCCCCTGCTCTCCCTGTCTCTATTTTCTCAAGATAAATAAATACACTTTTAAAAAAAGTCCTAATACAAAAGTCCATTGTATTCGTATAGATCAGCCATGAACAACTGGAATTTGAAATTAAAAAGTAATGCTATAGCCCAATTTAATTCACAAGATACATGGAAGGTGGTGGCACACATAATGGATGCAGGAAGCAACTGAAATTTTAGAATACGGCCGTGTCCATTTGGATACAATTTTAAGAATATTCTCAAGGTTTATCCTAACAAATATTTGACACAAATACAGTTGAAAAGACATACATGCAGAAGGTGGGAAACCAAAATTTAGAAAACCATCAGTTCAGAGTTCTTGTTTGTTCCCAGAGGAAAATAACTGACTTCTACAATGCTGATAACTTCTCATATTGACCAACTTACTTTATAATTTTCCTTGTAATTTTTATTTTTTTAATTTTATTATTTTTTTAACGTTTTATTTATTTTTTGAGACAGAGAGAGACAGAGCATGAACGGGGGAGGGGCAGAGAGAGAGGGAGACACAGAATCGGAAGCAGGCTCCAGGCTCTGAGCCATCAGCCCAGAGCCTGACGCGGGGCTCGAACTCATGGACCTCGAGATCGTGACCTGAGCTGAAGTCGGACGCTTAACCGACTGAGCCACCCAGGCGCCCCTGTAATTTTTAATAAATAGCCAGACTAAAAAAAAAAATCCCCATCTTTTTGAAAGTAAGAGGAGTGCTGGGAGGAACTGAGGTCTCACTTTTCTAGGTTTGAGTATCTGTGTTAAGGGGAAGCGTTGAAATGGGCGCAGAGCTGAGTCCCTCAAATCCTCGAACGAGAGAGGACTCCCTCCCAGCTCTGGGGGCGCTGGCAGCAGAAGGTCCTCAGCCACCTGCCCTCTACAGAACTGGGGACTCTGTGGACGAGTGCCACCTTGGCCAAGGCCTTGGGCCCTTTCCTGGGTAGCCCGCGCTCAGCAACCGGTGGATGTGGCCCTTTAAGCCCTGGCCTTCTGGCTTTTACGGGGGCAGCTCTGAAGGGTCATGTCCACTCCAGACCTGCCCACAGGGCCACCCAAGGCCTCCGCTGAGACCGCATTTATCCCAGCCGAACTCTGCCTGCCCGTCCCACTTCCCTCCCTTTCTTTCCACAGGTATTGATCCCAAGGCAAGCACAGACGAGGGGGATGCTGTCCCTGGCTCTGGGTCCATGTCCCAGCACAAACCCAACACGGGGTGGGGGGGGGGGGGGGGGGGGGGGGGGCGGGGGGCTAGGGAGGAAGAACACAAGGCTTTGGTGAGCAGCTGGCCCCTCTGCCACACGGATTCTACGGGCCACAGCCCTGGAGCCCGTCTTGGAAATTACACGAGGAAGGAAAGCAGTGCCATTTTCCACACACAGATTCAGGAAGTGAACCGAAGAACAAAGAAGACACTTTGGGAAGCCTGGCAGGGGACACGTCTGAAATTCGGGCGGGGCTTTGGGGGACCACAGGAGGCAGAATGGCAGCTGCATAGCCCACTGTTTGGTCTAATCCCCTGAGCTGTCCTGTCCCTGGTACCGTGGTCTCACTGTGTTAATTAAATCATTCTCATTAATTCAGCCCGAGTGTAAATTAGGAAGGAATGAAGATAAATTAGGTTTGAAGGCAGCTAATACATTTAACCCCATGCTGCTTATTTTGCAGCCTAACAGAATAACGTTGTTAAGGGAGATAACAAGGCCAAAGCCTTGGGCACAGCTTCTTAATAGCATTAAAAATGAGACCTTGGTTTGGTGTCACAAGGCAGAGGCAAAGACCAACTCCCGGGGGGCCTTTGGGACTGGCCTAACATCTTGGGTCGGGTGGTGGCCATTTTATGACACGGATCCATAGCATTTCCTGAGTTGTTTATGCCTCAGATAGCTACCACGTTTGTGGTTGTCCAGTTTGATCACAGGCCTGTCTAGAGAGTTCTTCCTGTACAGACACAAGATTTGCTCACCTTCTCGTCCTGTGAGGGAAGTGATAAGGATTACCTTTAGGATTGGCTGGAGTAAGGACAATTTGTGTTGCTATGAGCGGAAATATGCTAACTTGCAAATCGCGCTCAGCTGTGAAATAAACACTAGACACTGCACACAGGCCTGGAAACTTTTGATACAGTGGTTCAAGCAAACCAGTGCAGTTTGTAGGAGGTCATTGAAGGCACACACATTTTCCCCCAGATGCAAGTTTAGTTCCTCTATCGCTCAGCAGGAACGTGTCTTTCACTTTTATGCCCTCCGATGGCTCATTTCTTTCCCCTGCCTCATGTTGCTTATCTCCCTGAGGCAGATGAAGCAAATGTCTATGGTCACTGAACACATTTCAAGATTTCCTAAAGCTACGACATTTTTTCCCTTCTCTTTTCTTGCAGCCTAGGAGGACGGCAACATTAGGTTGAAGAGACCAGGAAAATGGCATCGGTGGACAATGACACGATGTCCACAGCATCCCTGCCTGCTTAGCAGAGTTTTGTGCAAAGAGAGATAAACGCTGCTGTCCCGTCGGTTAAGGACACTGCAGTTTCCAGGTGGTGAAGATACAACAGAAACAGATTGGCTGTTCCCAACTCAGTGGCTTCCTGGGACAAAATCCCCAGCCAACCAACTGAGCTATGCACATGTTTTATATTTCTAGGCAAGATCAGCTAGGCGTAGATTGGGTAAGTAACTGAAGTAAGAAACAGATACTTCTCCTTAATGAGAAAAAGTGTTAACCTCTCAGTTTAAACAGAACGATTCCCCCAAAGGAAGACGTTGCATCCGGCTCTTCAAACCAGCGTGCCTACTTTGAGCCCACGACCCAGACAGACAAAACGCTGCTAGAAGGTGCCTTTGCGGCTGCCTTGATGGACTTCCTCCACACCTCTCCACAGGCTACAGAAACGTGTTTTTAAAAGCGGGGGGGGGGGGGGGGGGTGTGCTAGAGCTGCACATAGCCACTTCGCCTGTTTTCAGCACCTGCCTCTGGTGTGTGTCTACACTCTCTCTGGTCCGGCCTGATTTTATCCACCTCTCCTTCAGGAACGGGGTCGGCTCTTCACCTGGCCAACCCCAGAGTCGCTGCACGTGGCTCTTACCATGAGCTGATCCAGCTGTCCCTGGCTTTGTGAAGCAGTCTGGAGCTGAGGCCCCGCATAAAGAATTAAACTATGAAACAGACTCGGAAAGGCTCCTGGTGAGGCTGGCGAGTTAATGCTAACAAAGGACTTCAGAGGGCACTGTCTTTCCTTGCATGCAAGGAGCAAAATTTCTCAGCGCAGACCGGCAGGGACCGGGGTACAGAAAAGTGTGGATTAGAATAAAGAACCGACAGAGTCTTGGTTCAGGCAGTCTCTGGACACCGGGAGCTCTAGGTGGGGCCTCCTCAGCCTGTGTAAACCATTTCTGCGTCTAGTGTTTAGAGGAAAGCTGGGGGGGGGGGGCGCGGAGAGGGGAGAAAACCCTTGCTCGGTGGATCCTTACTCGAGCTGCAGAGCGAGGCCACTGCTAAGTGGCCGTGGGACCTCGAGCTGGACAATTCACATCACCCTGGGCCCCACTTTCCCAACCTGCAAAACGAGGTGGCTGGACAGGTAATCGCTACAGTTCATTCATTGATTGTATTCCAAATACCTAATAAAATCCAAACACGAGCTTTAGCTCCCGCTGGAAAACCAGTCCTTAGTGCAAAGATCAGAAATGGATTTCGCAAAGGGCGATCGCCACGCGAGATGAGTTTTCGAACCGCCTTCCTTCCTTCTGGCACGCGGCGCTTCAAACAGGCGCGCTGGGCCATTTCTTTGCTGAGCTGCAAGCTAAACACAACGGAGCGATAAAAGACAGGAAGGGCCCAGCCCGAAAGGGCGATTTCGGCTCTATCGCCAGGGAGAGGGGGCGGCGTGGCCGCTCCTTTGAGCAGCTCGCTTTGAATCAAGCGGCGGCGGCGATTGGCTGCGGAGCACGTGGTGCGCGCCCCGCGGGACAGCGCCCGACTGCGGCTGCTGCTGCTCCCCGCAGCGTGGGGCAGAGTCCGGGCGCGGGTGCCGCACCCGCCGGGGTGGGGCGGTGGGGCGGCGGGGCACAGGGGAAACGCCAGGAGCTCGAGTCTGTCTGCCCCTTGCCAGCGAGAAACCCCACGGGCCGCCTTTGGCCGACCTGCAGTGTCCCCGGAGTGGCCAAACTTGTGCCCCTGCCCTCGCCACTGCCCTCGCTCCAGGTGTCCCACGCAGCGCGCGTGCGCCGGGCACCTTGCCTGCCCCTGGCCACCTTTCCTGAGCATCTCGCGGGCTCCGGCTTCGCGGAGCGCACAGCCGGGTGCCTCCCCTGCCCAGGGTCCCTCAGCTCCGGGGCTATCCATTCACCGGGCTGGGCCAGAGAGGCGCAGGCACTCCGACCCGGCCAAACTTCTGCTACTCTCGGTCCCTGAGGGCTGCAGCTGCTAGTGGCTCAGGCACCGTGTCCGCTTTGTCTCTCTCTACTCTCCGCAGCCCCCCCCCTCCCCCGCTTCCTCTCTCGATTAACTCCCCCGACACGCTCTTCTCCAGCTCCTCGCCGTCGCCACCTCCTCCCCTTCCTCCTCCTCCTCCTCCTCCTCCTCGGCGGGCGGCCTTCACGCGCTTCCTCCCTCCTTCCCCTGGTGTCACTCCGCACCCGCGCCCTCTCCTCCCTCCCCTCCCTTCTCCTCCCCGCCCCGCCGCGCCGCGCCGCTTATAGCCCGCCGCGCGGCTGCTGGGCGCAGACTGCTTGGGCAGCCAGAGTGGAGGCGGCGCGGCGGTGGCGCTGCGGAGACCGGGTCCAGACGCCAGGCGGCCGCCGGCGCGCACAGCGCTTCCTCGCTCCCTCCCCGGAGTGCACTGCCCGCCTCCTCGCGCGGCGCCGGCAGCCGCAGAATCGCTCCCCCTTCCCGAGACGCGCTCCCGGAGACGCTCCGCGGGTCGCGGGCAGAGGCCGCGGCGTGGGAGTCGCGAGGCGCTGTCCTCTTCCCGGCTGGCGCCCCATGCGCGCTCCTTTCGCCCGGGTTGTCGCCGCCGCTCCCCGGGGCTGAGACGTCCGCCTCGTCTCCTCCTGCCTGGTGACCTAGGCGAAAACCCATCTGGTTGTGCGCCGACGCCGGTCGCCTCTGCTGTAAGTTTCATCCGCTGCCCGGGACCTGTTGCGGGCGCCGCGGCTTTGCGGGGCTGCTCGGCCTGCGGGGGTGCGTTCGCCCCGGAGCGCGGAACTCCGACTTGGGAGGAAGTGGGGGAACTGTTCTCGGGGAGGAGACCTCGGGAGCCGCTGCTGCCCTTCCATAGCGTGCAGACGCTGGCCATCGCCGGAGGGGCCTCCTCTCGTCCGCGGCCCCCCGGGACGAGCTGCTGGGGATCCGAGAGCCCGGCCAGGGTAGTATCTGTCTCCTTCCTCCGCCCGAAGCGGCGCTTCCCTCGGGGTGGGTGTCGCTCTGCCCAGCACCGCGCAGCCCCTAGGGCCGAGCAAGTTGCACCCTATCCGGCACAGGGGAGCGCTGGGGCCACACGCACGCACCCTTCGTCAGGGCATGTTCACTGCGGCGGAATGTCTGTAGGGAATGAATGAAAACTTCCTGAAAAATTAATTTCCTCTCATGCAGGTATTTGGCCTTCAGTGTAATATTCTGAGTTTCGAAGGATAGGAATTGGTGGGCGTGGTGGGGACGAACCATGAAACTTGTACAGGATGCAATTTCGTGTTGCCCTCTCAGGTGTGGCCAGCGCGTTAAAGAGCGTTGCAAGTGTTCTAGGCGGCTGTATGGTCGATTGTTTTTCTCGTTGACAGTGTCTTTCTAAAGTTCCATTGTATCAGTAAGGTAAATGCCCGAGAAAATCTGCCTAGTTTCTCCTTTGAGTGCGTTGAGAACAGGTTCAAAATCTTAGGAGATGTGATGGGATGCAAAGTGTTGGAAGCAGAGGGCTTGGGTAAAGAGCATTAAGTGAACTGAACTTACTGTAACTAGGAGTCCTTTTGATGTTCACGGTAATAGCAGCCCTTTTTCTCTCTCTTCTTTGTAGATGCAGGTTAAGTATATGTGTGCAGTTTTGTTTTTTTTTTTTTTTTTTTTTTTTTGGCTACTTGGCATGCAAATATTATTTCTCTGGGGGCTTAAAAATGCCAGAAGGATGATTCATTTTCTGTTGAAGGTATGTTTAGTGACTGCATAAATGGCTTCTGCTGATATTTTGATGTTTGCATAATTTTCAACCAGAAAGCAGGTCATTTCCCTTGGGTCTTTAAGTTTACCTTTTATTTTAAGCAAATATTGCTGTAAGAGTGTTGGATTTTGACTGTGACATGCTTCTCCATCTGGATGGTAGCCAAGATGACAGGCTAGCCTCTTCCTTCTGGTTTTGTGGGCCAACTTGGAAGACGCAGGAGCATAAACATAGAATGCATAGGGATGCAGATCCTATATCCTAAGGCCTTCTAAACAAACTGTTTTCTTAAGTGTAAGCCTCCTGAATGTTGTTTTACACTGTCTGAAATCTAATGCTCAGGGAAACATGTTCTGGGTCCGGGTGTGATCCCCACTCGGTGTGATGGCACTGTGGTGCTTACATACCTTGTGCAGGCAGTCTCATTCTCCAGTTACGGCTGTATTCGCTCTTAGCTTGAGAGAAGGCAGCTTTTGAGGGTGCTTTCGAAACATTAGCTTAAAAAAAGAACTACTGATTTGATTTGGCATGTTTGTGAGTTTCTGTGTAAGGCATAGGAATACTCATACTATGTTTTTTTTTTTTTTCCCCCTCATATTATCTTTTGAGGTTTAAGCTTAAAATCGTGCTCAAAGTACTTGGGACTGGATGTACAAATTCACAACTGTAATGGTAGAGCATCAGAGATGTTAGGCTCTCCGGAGCACTGGGCGTTGGTTAAAAGGGACCAGACTGTAGAGGCTTTGCTTGAGGTAAGAGTGATGTGTGGCTCCTGGGTCCTAGCCTAAGTCACCATGGACACTAATGTTGTCTTCCGAACAACAGAACCCTAGGACTTTGTTACTAACTTTCTTCCAGTAAGCTGTTTACTCTTGATGAAAAGTTACAAGCCAAAAATGAAGGAAAACAAGTTGCCTCACCTAACGGCTCCGTGGCCGGAGAGTCAAGGGCAAATCTGGTGCTGCCTTTGCTGTTTGCTGTGCTGTGCCACAGCTGCTCAGGAAATCCAGCTTGGTATCTAGCCCGTGCATCTGTGGTACATCATGCATTTGCATGTATTAATAATTACTGCAATATAAACCCAAACAGTAAATATCCGAGAGGTTGAAGGAAACAAGGAGGCGGTAGGTTTCAGCTCTGTGCTGTGAGAACTAGCTGTTCTGGGTTTGGAACAGATACTGTAACTCACACAGTTTACCCTCTTGGGATAAACAACTTCCTTAAGAATCCCTGGACAGGCAGGTTCTTGAAGGCTTTATTGCTTTGAAATAACAGAAGGATACAGTTTGAAAAAAAAAAAAAAAAAGCACGTGGTTCTGCTTTTGAAGGTTAGGTGATAGGTATTTACTATGTCTTTAACCTACAGTTTACCTCCTGAAAAAAGCCAAAGAGAGCATTAGATTTTGCAGTAATTTCAATAATATGGAGGAAAGCATGTCAATCAGCAAATAAATTCTAGGGTGGCCTTCAATTAACAACGGCTGGCAACACACACACACACACACACACACACAAGGGCTTTTGATTTAGATAAGGCAGTGTTTGCATTTTGAACTCCTATGCACGTGCCCGTGTTTGCAGGTACATAAGGATGATTCTGGTGATGCACTGTCTAATCGAAAAGAGAGGGATGGATAGATCCTTTGTTCTTGCATCTTGTTTTCTAAGAATTGATATAAAGCAGGAAGAATAGAAAAACAGCAGTCATGGGTATGCTACTCAAAATATTCTTCCTTTTATGTTTGCAAATCCTCATTTTGGAAGCTGTCCAGAGCGAGAAAGATGGGTGGTGATCGTGGCCAGGATCTGTTCTGTGTTTTCACAAAAGCCTGCTCATCAGTACTTGGTCATGTTTATATTGGTGTTCTTTGAGGACCCTGCAGTGGTAGAATTGTCTGGTTGGAAATTATTTGTGACACTTAAAGAAAGATCCAATCATAGTAGCAGTTGGCCTAGGCCTATGATTTTAATGTCACGTTTCCCATTGACTGTGATTCAGAGAGAGACTGGATCTTACTAAAGGAGTTCTTAATGGGATTAATTAATAGGTATTTTGTTTTACACATGGCTTTATGTTGCATAGGGCATGAAAGCTGGTGCCCATCCTGGCGTTACGAGAGCTGGAGGCCCAGCATTTTACGTGGCCTGCGTGAATCAGCTGGACAAGGGACAGGAAGGTGTGAGAGTGAGGCCTGGGTTTTGCTGACTTACAGTCTCGAGGACTTCAGTATCCTGAAAGTGGGCAGTCAGGTTTTCCAAGATGAACCTGCTTTCAAGCAGTGGCTTTTTTTTTTTTTTTTTTTTTTTAAACAGTGTTCCAGTAGCTCAACAGTGTTCCAGTGAATGCCTTTCCTTCTAGGTGGCCGTCTCTGACGCTGGACAGGAGTGACTGTCCACTATTCAGAACAGTGGGCGGTAAGACCAGTGGCGAAGTGTCCTGTTTTCTCTGTTCACGACTCCTTGTTTTGCTTTGTTCTGCTGTTCTGAGCCTCAGGAGCATCGCTGTTCAATGGTCTGTTTTGTTTTGTTTTGTTTTGTTTTTAGGAGTGGAAACAAAATGTCAGTCAGCGTGCATGAGAACCGCAAGTCTAGGGCCAGCAGCGGCTCCATCAACATCTATCTGTTTCACAAGTCTTCCTACGCGGACAGCGTCCTCACGCACTTGAACCTTTTACGCCAGCAGCGCCTCTTCACGGATGTCCTCCTCCATGCTGGAAATAGGACCTTCCCTTGTCACCGGGCCGTGCTGGCCGCGTGCAGCCGCTACTTTGAAGCCATGTTCAGCGGCGGCCTGAAAGAGAGCCAGGACAGTGAGGTCAACTTCGACAACTCCATCCACCCCGAGGTTTTGGAGTTGCTGCTTGACTACGCGTACTCCTCCCGGGTCATCATCAATGAAGAAAATGCGGAATCGCTCCTGGAAGCCGGTGACATGCTGGAGTTTCAGGACATCCGGGATGCATGCGCAGAGTTCCTAGAAAAGAATCTGCACCCCACCAACTGCCTGGGCATGCTGCTGCTCTCTGATGCGCACCAGTGCACTAAGCTGTACGAACTCTCCTGGAGAATGTGTCTCAGCAATTTCCAAACCATCAGGAAGAACGAAGACTTCCTCCAGCTGCCCCAGGACATGGTGGTGCAGCTCTTGTCCAGCGAAGAGCTAGAGACGGAAGATGAAAGGCTTGTGTACGAGTCTGCAATTAACTGGATCAGCTATGACCTGAAGAAACGCTATTGCTACCTCCCAGAGCTGTTGCAGACAGTGAGGCTGGCTCTCCTGCCAGCCATTTATCTCATGGAGAACGTGGCCATGGAGGAACTCATCACCAAGCAGAGAAAGAGCAAGGAGATTGTGGAAGAGGCCATCAGGTGCAAACTGAAAATCCTGCAGAACGATGGCGTGGTAACCAGCCTCTGTGCCCGGCCTCGGAAAACTGGCCATGCCCTCTTCCTCTTGGGGGGCCAGACCTTTATGTGTGACAAGCTGTACCTGGTAGACCAGAAGGCCAAAGAAATAATTCCCAAGGCTGACATCCCTAGCCCCAGAAAAGAGTTCAGTGCATGTGCAATTGGCTGCAAAGTGTACATTACTGGGGGGCGGGGGTCTGAAAACGGGGTCTCGAAAGATGTCTGGGTTTATGATACCCTGCATGAAGAGTGGTCCAAAGCTGCCCCCATGCTGGTGGCCAGGTTTGGCCACGGCTCTGCTGAACTGAAGCACTGCCTGTATGTGGTTGGGGGGCACACGGCTGCGACTGGCTGTCTCCCGGCCTCGCCCTCAGTCTCCCTAAAGCAGGTAGAACACTATGACCCCACAACCAACAAATGGACCATGGTGGCCCCACTCCGAGAAGGCGTTAGCAACGCCGCGGTAGTGAGTGCCAAACTCAAGTTGTTTGCTTTCGGAGGTACCAGCGTCAGTCATGACAAGCTCCCTAAGGTTCAGTGTTACGATCAGTGTGAAAACAGGTGGACGGTACCCGCCACCTGTCCCCAGCCCTGGCGTTACACAGCGGCCGCTGTGCTGGGTAACCAGATTTTCATTATGGGGGGAGACACAGAGTTCTCTGCCTGCTCTGCTTACAAATTCAACAGCGAGACTTACCAGTGGACCAAGGTGGGAGACGTGACGGCAAAGCGCATGAGCTGCCACGCCGTGGCCTCCGGAAACAAACTCTACGTGGTTGGAGGCTACTTTGGCATTCAGCGATGCAAGACTTTGGACTGCTATGATCCAACGTTAGATGTGTGGAACAGCATAACCACGGTCCCGTACTCGCTGATCCCTACTGCGTTTGTCAGCACCTGGAAACATCTGCCTTCTTAGGTGCGGGACATCGTGAAGGAAGCGAGCGTGAGGTAAGACGTTAAGTCAGTGCTTCTCAGCCTTGACTGAGCCTAGGAACCTCCCAGAGAGCTTTTCAAGAGCTTCCCGTCCCGGAGACTGGATTTCATTTGGTCTGGGTAGGTCCCAGGCCTCAGCACCTTTAGAACGTTTTCTAGTGATTCTAATACACAGCCAGGTTGAGAACCCCTGACCTACGTTAATGATGCCAACCCATGCTTAATGAGCCCTCCCTGTATGCCTGGAGCCGGGCCGTGTGTTTCACATGGATCATTTCATTTGATCCTGACAACAAACTCGCGAGATACTATTACTAGAGCGTTTTATAGACGAAAACAACTGATGCACACAGAGGTTAAATAAGTAAGTTGCCCAAGGTCATAGAGCTTAGTCTGTGGAGGAGTTGGTAGAGAAAACAACCCAGGCACTCTGGCTCCAGGGTGGAAGCATGTGAGCATCATGCTCAACTGCTTAATAAACTTGAGCTTCACATTGGTATCACTCCAGGAGATATTTGGTGACGTCCAAACTTAGATTCCTCAAACCCTTTTCTGGAATGAAGTAGGGTGTAAAAAACTGAATGCTTAAATTTATTCGTAGTTCATTCTCTCCAATATTATTTGTTTGCTTATTTAAAACTTCTTTTCCTCAAAAAAAAAAAATAATAGCCCCCTTTAGGCATTTATTAGCTTTCGAAGGAAGTCAAGGTCTATCCTTGTAAAAGAGTTGCACCTGCATTGTATAAATTTGTCTGCGGCGTGGATACACTGAACCATCTAGACCGCCTTATACTGCAGCCTTTCAGAGTTAATCAGACAGGCTGAGCCTATTGTCAGGGCTAACAAAAGTTGTCTTTCCGTGTCATATATCTGAGTCCATAATGGTCGTCTTGTGTACTTAAGAGTATATAATACCCTTGGCTCAAATAATTAATAGGTCTACACAGTTCAGCGTTCGTGAAGCTAATGGCCGCTTTGCTGCCATTAAGCATCCTTAGTATTGGCCCCAGGAACCACTTAGGCATGTCTAAGTGTAGCACAGAATACGTGGACTTTGTTGATTTGTTTTGCTAATTCACGGGCTTGTTCCTAATAGTAAGAGAATAAAATCAAAACTTTGCTTTGGAGGAAGTACAGTGAAAACTGACTCATTCCTTGAAAACTTTTGGCTCTGTTTTCCCTAGTATGTTTCACATTTTTGAAGGGGACTTTCAAAGAGAAAAAAAGGAAATCAAGGAGTCTTTGCAAGCAAAGCAAAGAGGGATTTTGACTCATTTGTCTTTTCTTTCCACATTTCGTACAGCTCGTTTTAAGACACCACTAAAGTTGGCCTCACTTTTACAATTACTCTTTCTTTCTTTTTCATCTCTTCAGTTATCTCTCCAGCCCATTACAGTTAGTAGAATTCTTATAATATAGTGTAACCTTGGAATGAAGTTTGTTCAAAGGAGCTGGAACAGTCAGAAACCTCCTGTGGGGAGCTGGGCTGACAGCGTCCCACACCAAACTGGTTTTTGCAGCCTTGCTGGCCTCTCAGTAATCCTAAGTAAACAAATGCTCTGAATGTGGTTATTTCCTCTGCGATATGAGCGCATGACTCAAGTCTAAAGCAGGTTTCTAGAACCTTCTAGGCAAAAGCATCAATTAACAGCACACCAAGTTCGGTGTTAGTCCGGAACCGACTAAGTTTGCATGGGAGAGCCGTAAAAATTGCCAGTGATGGTGGTGGCACATCAGAATGATGACTGGTCGATTGGCTGGCATCCTTGGAGCAAGGTAAGGAAACTGAGGCAGGAAGAGGCCACATGTGCATTCTGGCTCTGGCTCTAAGCTGTGGTGTCTAGACCTTTCTGTACTTCGGATCCCTCCTTTGTCAAATGAGTGATTTGAATGAGGCTTCTCCTAGCTCTGTCCCCAGACTTGGGTGAATTGATAAGGGGTGGGGGAAGGGAGAGAAAATACCTTGCCCAGTGCCTGGCATATATCAGGTGTTCAATGCTCTTAGCTTTGTTTCCTCCTTCAATTTAGACCTTAGCTTGTCATGGAATTAGCTTTGTGTGTGGAGTTTGACCATTATCTGATTGGAATGTTTGTACTTCATTTTTGGTGCCTCCTTTCTCAGCCCAGAGTATGTTGGCAAACACTTGAATTCACCCTATCCTGGGTATTTGAACCTAAGCACATACTTCCGGTCCCTGGGAAACGAGCAAATAAAGTGTTCGGTCATATGTGAAACACCTACCCACCCTTGGTGCTCCCAGCCGGAGTCCAGCCCACAACAACGAAATCTGACAGGGCCCGGTTTGCCTTTTTAAAGGGCGGCGTGAGCCTGCTCAAAGCCACCCTTGCGGTTTCCAATAGGGAGAATGTTGGCTTAAATTTCTCGAGTTTTCTACACACAAGATAGTGTTAAAACACTTAAGCTCCATGGAGTGACTTAAAAGAGGTGCTGTGTAGGTATCAGCCCTAAACTGCCAAAACTTCCGGGACATCGCTTTGATCTCCAAGTGTAGGTGCTAACCGAATTAATACAGTGTTAACAAGAAGTTTCCCTAGGTCTAAAAGCTCATTCACCAAGGGGATTTTACTCTCCTGCTGCTCTGTCAGTGGGTGGGAAGGACAAAAAGGAAGTTACGTAAAAAAAATTTTTTTTTTCTTTTAATGTTTATTTATTTTTGAGAGAGACAGAATGCGAGTGGGTTAGGAGCACAGAGAGAGGGAGACACAGAATCCGAAGCAGGCTCCAGGCTCCGAGCTGTCAGCACAGAGCCCGACGCGGGGCTCGAACTCGTGAGCTGTGAGCTCATGACCTGAGCCGAAGTCGGATGCTCAACCGGCTGAGCCCCCCCCCCCGGGCGCCCCAGGAAATTACTTTTGATTACTCTCCCGTTTTCATGGTGCTGTGTGGCCCCAGCCTGACACGTGACAGCTTTTGGATTCTGATTTATTTCTTCCTTGTTTAGATATTTCCTTTCCCTTCCCTTTCCCTTTCCCTTTCCCTTCCCCTTCCTCTTCCCCTTCCCTATTTGAGTATGCAGCATCGTGAAGTGTCGTGTTATTACAAGATACATTCTTCTGGCCGAATGTTGATCTATAGGTTACTGGGAGGTGGGGTAGAAGGATGACTCTGTAGTCTAAGGAATGCCTTGAGAGCTTGAATCACGGTTATGAAACTGCCAAAAGAAACAACTAACGAAATGAATCAGACTTCTGAGCACACAAAAGCGAGAAGAATTCAGGGCAAGTAACGAGCAGCCCCTCCTGCGTTCCCTTTGTGTGCACTTAGAGTTCTAGCAGCAGGAATGAGATTCCTCCACTGGTGCTGGAAATGCGCTCTCTGAACAGATAGGGCGAGTGTTTGAGAGACAAAAACCCTGTGCAGAATTTTCCCCGTATCTATAAAATTGGATACAGCGGGTGGGGATGGCGGCTTGTGTGAGGAGATAGCGGCTCCCGTGCAATGTGCGGCCTCTGTGGTTATGGCTCCCTGAATTTATATTCACGCTTGACGTCGGTAGTCTGTAGATCATAAGTGTATACCATAGCTGGCGTCTCCCAAGTGTGGACTGATGAACGTGGAGAATAAACTCCCAGCCTTGGGCTGTGGAGGCCTGGTATATTAGTCGTGTGAAAGGAAGCGAGACTGACTTCTGCTGTAATGAATAGCAGAGATGCATTTAAATAAGAGGATTAATATGTCTGCCTTCTATATGGTGAATAAATTGATTTGGGGATCCTTTGTGGGAAATGGGCCAAGGAGGGTTTGCCCAAGAATCTTTTTTGACCCTCGGCCGATCGCTTCACAGTGGCTCTGCTTAACCATGGAGATGAATTATGAATGTTGGAAGCGGAAGGTGGCAACTCATAACAGCACCTGGACGTATATAAGTTTGTATTTGAACATACGCACGTTTAAGGTTTAGTAGAGAAATGAAGATTTTTCTTTGGGCACCATTGTGTCTGTTCAGCTAGTCTTCCGTATCCGTGCACACCCCATGCGTGTGCATCGAAGGCAAGCGCTTTATCCTTGCACACTTGCCACTGAACAAGTACTTAAGACCTTTAGAAGCAATATTGACCGGCTCTGTCCTGATGTTACCTTTTTTGTAGATTTCGAGGCTACTAACAAGAATCCTTTCGTTCCCTCTGTTTTAGCTCACTCCATCACTTGGCGAGACAAAACCAAGATTTCGACTTTGGAGAGGCCAAACTTAATGAGGAGGAAGAAAAGAAAAAGGAAAAGAAGTTGCTACAAGACTCGATTACAATCCACTGCACCTTGTAAATGCTCTAACTGGACATGAAGGAGGCGGAGACGGAAGACGAGCGAAACACACACA